TGTCCCTATCTTGATCGATTTCCCTCAAATGGTCTCTACCGAACACGAGAATGCTGAATAGTTCGTCCTTCATATTTTTCTCTTTCCTTTCTTCTCCCTTACCCATTTCAAGAAACTGAATTAATGTAATCTTTCTTTTTATTTGTCTTTTGACAAAATCATAGTTATTTCAACAGAGATGTCCAATGTATCCGCTCCTTTTTCCTGAAACGATTCAGATACCAATCCACGCTATATCCCAAGTTCAATTCGATTGTCCGCGAAGGCACCCGCCAGATGAATCTAGACGTCGAGGTCGAGGCCAGTGGGTTCGGGAAGGGCGAAAGCAGGAAACTGGAAGAATACATGGAGGTCTTTGGGGTTGGCTGTGAAGCTGCGGAGACTGATGATGACGAAGATGAAGATGGTAGTGATGTTGATTATGATAGTGCTGGAGATGAAGAGGATCAACTCGACAATAGCTATCGGATTCCTGATCCGCAACGGAATGAAGATCATCACAAGACCGAAACTAAAGCATTGGAGTCGACGAAGACAGCGGAAAACTCAGACCGTACTCAACCCACAGAACTCTCAGAAGAAGAAGAAGAAGAAGAAGGAACACAAAGCAACGATGAATCAGACAACCACTCAACAAATAGATCGACTACCAAACCCAAGCAGAAAAAGAAGAGCAACAAAAATGCTCATCATCTTCAGAAGGTCGACTTGGACGAGGAGGAAATCAAGAATATCGTCATCAAGAAGATGCAGCGTCTCAAAGCCTCCAATTTCAATAAACATCATACCAAGAAATCCGTTAAACATTCTAATCATTCGACCCCTCTGGGCTCCAAATTCAAAAACGACGTCAAGAGTTTATGTTCTACTGAATTTTAACCGTCTCTTTTTTTGCTTTTGTTTCCTTCTGTTTTTTTTTAACTTATATTGGTTGTAGTATTTTCTCTTTGGTTCAATCTGATAATGTGAACCAGTCTTGCTCTTAGATTTCTAGAAATACTCTTATACTGGTTGTATAAATATCAGAGAAGGTGTGATCATATATTGATGTGCTGATAGATAGCTCAACGGGGTCAATGGGGGAGGAGGGACACCTCATGGAGGAGCGCTTTATCCTCCCTCTCCTACTCAAAAATGAGCCAGTTGAGTGTTAAATTTGGATGACTAGCAACCTTCATCATTCATCTTGCAACATACACCCTCTTCCTCTTGGGCCCCAGATCCACCATGGCCAGGAGTGACTAAGGATTTTGTTGTATGAGGAGGGGTCCCTCGACTACTTGTTGAAAGGATGTATTTAAAAGTACCAGATCCTCGGGACCTGGATCCGGCCACTCTCTCATCTGCTTCTTGATCCATATCCGCATCATCTCCATCATCATTTGACTTGAAGTTACATACAAAAAATAAGCCTCATGAAAGCAAATCCAGCGACTGGTTGATCTTATGATTTGATAGTGGGAGATCAGGTAAGCAAGAAGAAAAAACATTTATTTTGACACACAATACATATCCAAAAGAAAAGACCAAACGGCGTAAGATGATGAGTGTACTCTCGAGAGTTCTTAAGTTAGGGCTTTTGATACCAATGTTGATGTTGATGCTGATCAAGCAAACTCCTCTTTAAACAATCTCAGAACACTCACAGTCTGTTTAACTTGGGGGCCGGTACATAAGAAGACTGCAGGCTCCGACTCGGACATCCTGCACCACACCCATGCATGCAAATTCTCTCTCTCTCTCTCTCTCTCTTTGGTGTGTGCCCCAAATTCCCAATGCCTTACGAAATATTTATGTTGTTGGCCATATGGATGGATGTCTTCCACCCCTCAAAAGATCACCCCACACAAATATTTAGATCACATCCCTCATCCATTCAATTTTCAGTTTCGGGTCACACACCATTCGGTTTACATATTTACAAACAACATAAATTGGTATCAGGACCGGTTTTGCTTGAACCCTGCTGGGCCCTAGTTGGGTATCGGACTTCAAGAACTCACCACGGCTCACCACAGCTTTCAATTGATTTTTCTGAGCCTTCGCATCAAACAACAAACAAACTGAAACAACCACCAGTTCACCCCTTTTCTATATCAAATCTGAGTACGATTTCTGGTGACATGATTTCTTCAAATATGGGCAAATATTTTTTTTTCAGCCCTGCACGAGTCTCTTGAAGGGAACTCACAACAAACGTGAGCCTTTCGGGTATTACATAATTGACGCTCACCAAGAAGAAATTTCCAACTACCAAAATTCTTCGCAGAATTGTCAGAACTCGGTTCCTTCTGCAATAAAAGAAAACCTGAGCACATTCAGCCTTGATTGTGAGCATTGTTTTACAACCATGCATACTTGTTTAATCTTGCTGTCGCTCAGGCAGAGAGAGCTGTATGTATGAGTTCTTGTTGTTGATTTCTTTGAAGTGCGAGGAGGGCTGAGGGAGTGGCAATAAGAATAACCCGGTGGTATTCCTCTTTTTCTGTTGGATTTGAATGGAGTCTTTATAAATGATGTATTACTTTACTTATAAACTGCGTAATCTACGTCTAAATTCAAAGAACCAATGCACTAAAAAGTTCGAAAACTCTTTATGTGTAGTTGGGGTAATATGGGCCATCATCAAGTCTCTGTATTACAACCTTTCGAAAGCTACCGCTTTACACATATTTAAATATGTGTGGAAGGAACTTTATAAGAAGCGGATAAAATTATATTCGGTCCATTGAATTCTACACAACATCAAAAAGAGACATTGTCAGATTCATTTAATGAGTGTTTGTAATTGTGTGAATGGAATGTGTATAGCAGCAAAAAAGCGCCGGATAAATTCTCGTTCAATCTTCATCACACCGTTCATTCTAAAAATCCCTGGAGTTATTGATTTGTTTATATATGTATTCATGGATCATTCAAATAATCCTCAAACTCTTCTTGGGAGGAACAAGTTTCTTTCTTCCGTTATCCGATTCGCAACCCCAAAGATTCTCTTCCTTTCTTTCCCGAATCCGACCATCATCAAAAAGAGTTTGATTGCGAATCCATTGGGTTAAATTCTGGAACGTCGATGATGATTCCAGAGCAGATGGAGACGAAAGAGATGACTCGACCGATGTTAGCGAAGAGCGAAAAAGACGATATTTCAATCAGTCTGAGGCCACCGCCTTGGTATCTTGAAGGCGAAGGATGGTGGATAATTCTATCAATCTTAGGCCCCGTCCGCAAGAGAATCGTCGAGCGAATCAAGCAAGAGTCGCGGAAAAAGAAAACCAAGCCTTCAGCCGATTCGACCCATTCAGATTCCTTGGGACTCTTATCCCCCGCCCCCACTCCTGACTTCCGTGGTGGTTTTGGTAGTGTGCAAATCATAAGATATCATAGTTCACCTGTTGGTCAGTCCCCCATGGATTTGAACTTCTGAATTTTCTCATCAAGAGGAAGTTAAGTGGGCACTGATGAAAGATTGGTGTACACTTTAGGTGCATATGACGAATTGTTGCTCATTCCTGGCGTCTTCAAGCCTCCAGAGGAATCTCTAAACCGGACCCCAGTATTCCGGATCACACAAATTTACGTTTCTACGCTTGGCTCTGTTCTCAATGGTCAGTCTTCAAACCGTATTATTATTATTATTTTGTTGGCCGCAAATATCCTGTTAAGAAGAAGGAAAGAGTTGATTTGAACGACGGGCTGGATGGATCTCATCCCCAATTTTAATTTGTATACACAGGCCGACATCATTGGAACATTCCCAAGAAGCTTGCCCGGTTTGAATTCACACCAGTAGAGGGCACGACGAACAAGATAAATGTGAAGATCTACGGGCTGAAGTCCTTCAGATTCACCCGATCCAGCGGCTCCACAGGGTGGTACTTCGACCCGGAATTCTTCGACACGCCGTTCTTCAATGTGACCATCCATCGCCATTTAGCGCCTCTGAACATTCCCGTGGATTTAGGGAAACTACCGATCCTCGACCTCACTCTGCTTCAGCCTCCATTACAGACCGTCGATGATGAGGATCATCAGCCTTTGGAGCCCGATCTCTTGCTCCTCAACCCTCCAATCGTCGATCATTCCGAGTGGAAACGCACCAAACTTGCGATCAAAGGCCGCTGTGGTCTGTGCTCCTTCAAAGGTAACTTGCAGCCAGGCAACCGCAAAGCTCCTCAGTTCGCTGATGGCGAACATTTTCCTGATATCAAACCCTATCGAATCGGCTTTCATTTCCCTCGCATATCTCTTAAGGTCTTGCCTGCTTCATCTATCCTTGCATCCTCAGAGCCTCTCTCTGAAAAACATTGAGTTGCCTATCTGTCTTCTTCTTAGCTTCCCCATTCCCAAGTATCTTTTTTCTTATGATATCCTCAAATTATACCTCTATTTTGGATTTGTGAAACGAAACATACGAGTTTGTTTATTTATTTTGTATGTTTCTATACTTTCTAGAAATGTCATTTTGTCATATGTATATATATATACATCTAGTTGATCAGCTCATGAAGCAGAAAAAATAACTTGTACAATCTAAGTAGTCAAAGACAAGAAAACAATCCACAAAGGGCCAGTTTCTACCAAAAAAAGCTACTGGATCCAGATGTGAAGTATAAAGTAGATTGAGACTTCACACAACCTCAGCTATAATACAGACAGAGTATGACGACGACAGTGCAGTGATCATGGAGGATGCAGTGAGTTTTGTTTACATTATTGTCAAGCAAAAGCTTGAAAAACTCATCTATTTTGATTGGACCTGATCATGGTCATCATGACACGCAGGTTTTTTTAGACAGGGGAAGCAGTGGATTGAACACAGATGATATGCCCTTGGCAGTAGGTTTGGAACTGGACTAACCGTTAGCTTTTGACTCTTTGAGATGCGTGAATCTTTCACAACTGGCCCGCCATCACTTGTCTCGACGTGAGGGTAAGCGTTTTTGGTATGGATGGCCTGAGAAATACTTCCAGTGGAGGAAAGTTTATGATTGTGTCTGTGTCCCTTGATCATACATAATTGTTATCTGGAAACACGCTTCGCGGAGTCGCTGGAACTCAGCAGCCGCTGGTTGAAGCCGAGGTGATTAACATGCTCAGGGACCTTATGTAAAACAAGTGCCCATCAATCTTTAGACTTTATTACTCCAGACCAGCCACTTTTAATTTCTTTCAGTGCAGTCACCAAGTTGTTAATGTTATGCATGGATAGTTGCATTGGATAGATAGCAAAAATAACCCCATCCAGCTTTGTCCTCTACCAATATGAGGATTACATCAAATTTACTGCTTTGCGTTGGTCTACATACTTTGAGCATCTATCGAATGGCACTGTTGAACCCAGTGAGATATGTACCGCCGAAGCCCACGAGATCAAGAACCGAATCTTACTTTAACTTGAATACTGAATCCTTGGACAGCTGTGAGCCCTCCAAATTACGTCCAGCTGTTGCTCCAACTGGAACAGATCAGATAGAGCCGGTAAAGTTAGAGAGGCTACGCCCCACAATTTCGAAAAATCAAGGCAAGTCTCCTTGTATCTTGTTATCCTAGACTGAATCATGATACAAAGACATGATCCTTTTTTTCCTTTGACAGCCCAGATCGACGCAATGAAAGCCGACAACAAACATATCATATCGCTGATCAAAGATCTCAAAAAGCGAGACGACTTTCTTGGGGGCAAAGTGGAAGATTTTTATAAACCCTTGAAGATTTTGGGACAGGCAAGATTGTATGACCTCTGTATAGATTCACCATTGACTCTCGGCACACGCCATTCTACTATTCAAGCTCCCACCTCAAGTTTAACCGAGGCTCCCCCCTGCGAAGTAGCGAGGACCCCATCAGCTCCCAACCTGATTGTTTCATTAGTCAAGTGTCTCGGAGTGATCCTCCCTTTCAATAAAAATGAACCCCATTTTTCAAAGAGCAGCGACGAAATTCTAACTGGGAGTTCCCAGACTCTGCAACCGCTTGCTAATCAGGAAGGCAGTCCGAAGATGGAAACTGAAAGCAAAGAATTGGAATTGCATGGAGAACCACTTCGTATGATTCAATGCTTGGTTTTTCCTTTGAATGAATTGTGGATGGGATTGGAAACATTAATGCCTGTGGGGTTGCCCAAGTGCTTTGGCAAGTGGAAGAATTCCGATCGCCCCTTGATTCGAGAATGGTACTACGCGGTTACATGGCTGGACTACTACTCTAGTCAAGAACGTAAATTGACATATTATGAAGACGTACTCATGAAATCGGCTTTGCTAAACTATGTGGAGGTCATGTTTCGTTTGGCTAATTATATCAGGAAGTACGACTTACAGCCACCTAGCTTCAACTCACAAATTGAAATTCTTGAACCAAAAACTCTTGTGCCAACGATCATATTTTACATTAACCAATCATTGAAATTTAAAAACCTAATGGAAATACTTGTGTGGAAGCCTCAGGGATTTGTCCCAGGACCAGAGTTGTTAGAAACACATGATTTTTTTGAACTCTTTCATGAGCCAATTAAAGGTATGATTACTTAATTCATTCCTGAATTGAAAAATGATTGTTTTTAGTTTCTTGAACTGATGTTTACCTTTTTATGCAATGTAGAAAAACTCACCAATCAACACAAGCAGATTATTACTTACCACTTAATAAAATCCATCATGACAAAATTTGTTAAAGAAAAAGAAATTAACAGCAAGACTATAGGCTTGACAGAATTTTTCATGATTCATGAAAGGTTTTGTGAGGATGATTTTCTCACTGGTGCAAATGAGCTATACTCAACTTTTAGGCATACTCCTGATGAAAAAATGAAGCAAATCAGAAATCACAAAGCTTTTATCACAATGGAAGAAATTTTCAGATACTTTGATCGGCCTTCAAATATATTGGAAGGGGAATTTCAGGAATATAATCTTCTCATCATTTATTACATGGTAAATTTTCTCAATAGCAATTATAAACCATTAATAGATGAAGTTGTCAAGAGCATAGGAACCAAAGATCTTGTCCTCAAAAAGAAGATCAAGTACATGAATTATTTGATTCAACAATTTAAAGACAATGTTTCTAAGAGTATTAAAACAGGAAATGAAGGTGATGAAAATCCAAGTACTGAAGCAAATAGTGAAACAAATTTTCATTCAATCAAAAAAGGAAGTATGATTGATGCCCAGTCAAAGTCTAAAGCTGGTCATGTGCCAAATATCAAAACAGGAAGTCAAGAGGATGGCCACTTAGGGATTGAAACAAGAATTGAGGATGATGGACTGGACATAAACAAGTGGTATGAAAAAGTTGGTTCTATATTACAAGCATTTAAAGACGTTACAAGGGAAATACCTCCATATTCCAATGATTCAGTACAGCTCAATATCATTTTATCATACATTTCATGAAAAGGATCTGATCAAAGTTATGCACCATTAGACATCAGCTCCATATTTTTTTTTCTATTTACAAGTCTGAACTCTCATGCACACCATGATTGGAAAATTAATCAAAGAAATCTTGGTTAATCAATGAATTCTACTAGAAGGTTTGAATTGAGTGTGCAGCACTGCATACAAAAGGATATCAGATTTTTTTTAATCACACAATCCAATCATGAAATTTCAATCTTCAGCTTTAAACTATCAAGCAGAAACAAGCAGTTTTCCACATGAGCTGGGATAATGATAGTACAATCATTTTCAATCCAATTTTGCACTTTGGCCATGCAGAAAACTTGCTGTGCATTCAAAATTGAGGGAGTTTTGTATGAACGTCTCCCAGGGGATCTATGTTAAATGATACAACACAGCAATAGAATCTTCCTCAAGCCTTGTGGGGAGGGTTCAAATCATTGGTTATGCCAAACTAGACCAAACCACATTTGCCCTCTCATTCAAAAAGGAGGATTGACTCCACACATACATCGTACAAGGAATACATCACTTCAACTTGAGTAGTCAAATGCGCCTTTCCAATACTATCAAACTGTTGCTTACCTGTCGATATGAGGTGATTAGTTGTCCAGAGAAGATACTTGCAGGATGTAAAAATTTGATCTTTTAATTGATGTTGATGAAATTGCTAAATTGAGCATCAAATACCGTTCGGATTGTGTAGTCAGTCTAGGTTTCGGCAGGTTTCGGCTTTTGAGCAGAAGCCAGCGTTTCTTGAGTTCAACGTTCAATGCCGGCGGGGTGTATCGAATTGATTCATTTGACGTCTTAATGTCAATTGTGGCCATTGGTAACTTAGAAACCCGGCTGAATGTAACTTCAGGAAGGGTTTTTTTCATTGTGGGGCGTGATGAACTTCATTGCAGAGATATCGGTCGGTTAGGAATGGGGGCAGGAATGGGGGCCGATTATTAAGCTTTGAGAATCGCTATGCGGCTAAAGTACCATATAATACGAGGGAGCAACTTTTCAAGGGTAACCATTGTCTACCTCCTTGTCCTCTAATGGCAAGCGTCCCGTGTCAGAGGGTTATGTTCTAAGACCAGGTCACTCGTATACTTCTTCCTTCCAAGCATCTCAGCGGATTTGAAGCCGACTCGACGCACACGACCCCACTATTTTTAACACCCCAGAGTTTCATTCATTGCTTTGGCCTTAGAATTGTCTGGATTTCCCTCACAAGCAATATCGTTGGTTTGATAGTTCATTCTTCTGACTACAGACTTATCTTGAAAAGAATTGAACTTCAAATCAGTGATCACCTTTTTCGAAACGAAAAAAAAAAATGCCTGGTGGCTCACCACTAATTCTATTCCTTCAGAAGGTTTTCTGGGCAATAGGTGTAAGTCACATTATACGCACAAGGCACCACTGGCCTCCCAAAGTGCCCCTACTGAGCTTCCGCTAGAAGAGAAGTTAATAGCCTTATTCATTAAACTTTTTCATCGCTCTTAGATCGTCTCCATCATCTTCATTGGCGCTTTCCTGCTTGCATTGCATCGGTCGGGTCACAAAAAGCATCCAGTCATCATTGGATTCTTGATTACCTCTTGGTTTACAGCTTGGATTGCACTCTTACCATTCTTTGGAAACGTTTGGTAAGATGCCCCATTTCCCTATATGAATTTAAAGTACTCTATCGAAGCGATTCTTATGCCGAATTGATACCCGTTACAAAAATTCCAATCCAATCAGGGAGTATTCACTGTCACGACCACTCGTCCATGCAAATGGTAAGGATGAAATTTTTTCCACTGCTTTTTCCACAACGCTTCGGTTGAATAATCTTCTCTTCTCCGAATTAGTCAGAGTCGGTCCTCCACACACCATTTGCCAAATCAATGCTGTTTTATTGGCTTACCTGTGGACAGCTATCCCCGGGTATGTAGAGAAAAAAAAAGCATCCTTCAACAATCATATATTCTTCCTTGAACCACTCGAAATGGAGGAAGAGAGCTAATTTACTCACTGCGCTACTTGATTTAGATTCGGCCTGGCTTTCGTTATCGAAGTCATGAGGATGCTGATAGAGTTCCTTAGGTTTTCAAAAATCGACGTCCCAGATCAAACGCCTAAGAAACCGAATGGTGGAGGTTTCCGCAGGAAAGGCTCAGTGGACTCTAATTGCAGTGACGCGAGTCAAGGCAGCTATTCAAGTGAAATCCATCTTGTTAAATCTCTCGAAAGCATCAATGAGGAAGGACAAAGTTTACACTCCAATCGATCCGCTTCCAGGACATTAAAAAAATTGTGGAAGTTACATTGGAAAAAGTCGATTATCTTTTTACCTCTGGTAACTGCCCTCCCAAGTCTTTTCATGGTTTTCAGTCTCCAATCTTCTATGGGGATGGCGATACGTACACGGTGAATCACTTCATCCAATCCCAAAAACACCAGTGTTTTTTCTTTTCTTTTCTAGGTTGAATACTAATTCTTTTCTCAACGACATGACTCTTTTAGCCGACCAGTTTACCTGCAATCCTCCCGACCCGCTTCTGCGTCGTAAAAAGGCATTCATTCTTCTCTGCCATCTTGTACCAACAAGTGGTCTCGGAAGTGAGCGTCAAGTCCATTTTTTTTCTTTCCATAGCCATTGGTGATCGATCAACTTGCTCACACATGTCTTTTATTTTTTGAAATCATCCAGTTGCCTGCTTGATTATGTACTTCGTTTTGAGACACCGAACAGCAACCGGCTTTTACCGACGGATTCACTACCCTTTGCTCATCAGATTGAGCGCTTTATCCGCCCTGAGTGGGTACGTGTACTTATAAAAAGCTCCCGAAATAAGATTAGTCGAGCATTGCTGATGGGCATTTAACCGAATTAAAGCGTTGGTGCGGCACTCGAGTTTACTATTGATTATTCACAGTTCAATCGAGGGCTTGCTGGACACGTTCCATCACTTTATTTAATCACTTTTCCATTACTTTCAGCCGTGCTTTTCGTGGACCAGGAAATCATCAAAGAATGGAAGTCTTGGCTTAGGTTAGACAAGAAATAAATACTTCAACCTCACCCAATTTAACACATTCTTCCTTGAAGTGGAAGAGCAAATATTTTTATTGGAAGCAGACCTGAGCTTTCTGCCTACTGCTTATTTTTCCTGCTTCAAAAAATCTATCAGTAGAACCTAATGTGTAACCATAACAACATTGTGTGGCTCCAGATCCTCTAAAAAATACCCAAGACCAACTGAAAATCTTACACATATTTTGATTCCAATTTTGAGTTGCAAGTATCTACATTTTAACCAAAGCCCATATTTTTATGAATTGAAATCAACAAAAATCCACCTAAACTTTAGGCACTTGGTCAACTGACTCCCAAAAATTGGAGAGTCAACTCCCAAACCTGGGTTTCCCCAAAAATTGGGAGTCAATTCCCCAAATAGTTGGCTCCCAAAAAAAAAATTAAATAAAAAAAAAGAAAAACCACGGAGGTTGGGTGTTGATGTCCCAAAACCAAGTGGTTTTGGAAGGTTGTTGATCAAACAAAAAACCAGCGTCCAGGAGCATTCCTCCCGGCCGCGGAGAGTGCTCTCTCAATGGCTGGGAGAATTTCTCTTGGGCGCTACATATGGGTATAACCCTCAATGGCCAAAAGAAACCTCTTGGCCGTCAAGGCTGTACACTCAACGGCCAAGTGAAACCTCTCAGCCATTGAGGGTGTACACCTCAACAACCGAGAGGGTTTCCTCTTGGTTGTTGAAGATGTAAACCCTCGAGGGCTGGGAGGAATCCTCTTGGCCGTCAAGAGTGTATACCCTCAACAACCGGGAGGTACACTCTTGGCCGTTGAGGGTTTACATTCTCAACGACCAAGAGGAAACCCTCTCTGTCAGCCTGAGTGATGACAAGAGCTGAAACTCTTCTAGCTACACCAGGTGCAAAGTTAAAGAGGGATATGTGCATGTGGGGATAACACGTGAAAAGTGGGGATGGTTGTGTAGTAAAAGAAAATAATAAATAAAACTTAACAGTTTTTATTTACAGAGGGGCCTGAGTTACAGGGGTTTTTGACTGTGCCCTCTATTTCAGGTCCTGAGTTGCAGAGGTGGTACTGAAGTTCTGGTCCTTTATAATAAAGGAGTAAACCCAGAAAAATTCTACAACTGAAGATACAAAGAGATAACACTTACTGATACTTATCTCTAGGCCAAGGGATGCTTCAGGAGGGGGAACTGTTCTTGAGGCGCTCATAAAGTTGGTGGAGAGGTGGTGGAAGAGTGCTGGGGAACAGGTGTTGAGTTGGAAGGGTGAAATTCAGATCGCAAACAGCAGAAACAGGGCCAAAAGGCAGGTTGAAACTGGTTGTTGGTGACGGTTTATGCTGGTATGTAATGATGAAGATGGGGAATCAAAGTTAAGGGGGAAGAAGGGGCTCTTAAATAACCATTCTGGGCCTCTGGAGGCAAACTCAGGAGTCTCTCTAGTTGCCACAACTCTCCTACTAAGCCTATGGGAGCTTTTGATCATCTGTAGCACCTGTAGATCTTGGTTACAGGTGTCAAGGAGATGATGTCAGGCTTGTAAACATGTTTACAGGGTGTTCTGAAGAAACTGTAACACTCCTGTAGCCTATGTAAGCACTGCATGATGCATGGGTTGATCCTTAACAGAGTCATTGTCCCAATTGGGCCAAAAAAGGCCACAGATCATCCCAAACAATTTAATACTGTAGTCTGTGCTCATGTAGTTAAGGTTTCAATGATGTAAAACTTGTTTGTAGATTTTTCCCGAACTGCATGAACCTTAATTACACCTGTAGCTTCCTTACAACCTGTAGTATGATGTAACTGGAGGGGTCTACAGTGTATTTTGGTCCAATATCACTCAAGGGTTACAAAGTAAGTGAAGGAGTAATAATTAAGGGGTTCACTCGGCAAGCTAACCTAGGTTATTTTGCATGTAGATTCAGAATCTGCAATAATATTCTGAGTTAAACTTAAGTTTCAGAAGTTATTAGGAGATTCTGGTTAAAAATGTTATTTTTTATTATTTTTATTTAATTATTTAAATGTTTTCCTCATGAAATATTAAAATATAAGTGTACTGTGTAATAATGTCTCTATTATAGTGATTCCACTTATTTAAATATTATTTTTATTATTATTTTAATTGTATGTACATATATAAGTAATAATATCTCTAATTTATAAGTAACTGCTATGTTCAGGCTGGCTCTGATTAGTAGCAGGCTGACACTCTTGGCTAGAGATGGCCATTGGTACCTGTTGGGGGGTACCTGCCACACTTTCACAACATGCTATCCAGAACAACAGCCACCAGTTATGCAGTTAGAGGGTGAAGTGATGATATGACATTTGTACTGGACACTCCACCTGCATTTCTGGTGGCTGGTAATATTGAGAACCTGTTTTGAAAGTGTGGCAGGTACCTCCAAACAGGTACTGATGGCCATCTCTACTCTTGGCCATTGAGGTGTACACCCTCGATGGCCAAGAGGTTTCACTCAGCCGTTGAGGGGTACACCCTTGACGGCCGAGAGGCCTCAACGGCCAAGAAGTTTCCCTTGGCCGTTGAGGTGTACACCCTCCACCGCCGAGAGAAACCCTCTCAGCCATTGAGGGTTATACTCAACGGCTGAGAGAAACCCTCTCAGCCGTTGAGGTTGTAGACTCTCAACGGCTGAGATAAAATCTCTTGGCCGTTGAGAGAGCACTCTCTGCGGCTGGGAGGAATCCCCCTGGCCACTGGTTTTTTTTATCACCAACCCCCCCAAAACCACTTGGTTTTGGGGCATCAACACCCAACCCCTCCGGGGTTTTTCTTTTTTTAAAATTTTTTTTTTGGGGGGCCAACTCCCAAACCCACGTATGGATTTGGGGAATTGACTCCCAAATTTTGGGGAAGCCCTGGTTTGGAGCCAACTCTCCAATTTTTGGGAGTCGGTTGCTCAAGTCCTAAAATTTAATCCAAAGATTTCTCCAAATCTGGGTTGAAAAACTCAATCTCCTTATTTAAGATAAAAGTAAGTTTTCCATTTCTGAGAATCAATCTCTATTGCCATTTTATTTTTAATTTGGAGGGACACATTTTTGAAGCCCCTCTGTTAGAGTAGAATATGGTCTTGAGGCCAAGATGTTTGTATCAGTCTTGGATGGGGGCTTCATGAGCTCAAGTGCCACAAACCTTAAGCAAATCAGCCATTTAATCATCCTGCATAACCATCCAGTGGCCTTCATTCAAATTTTTAATGTTAAACAACAAACCACCCCACAAAACAAGTATTGTGTATAGCAATGGCAGAAGAGACATCAATTCTCTTCCTGAACTTGTTTTGCCCTACATCCCTACAACCACGCATTCTATTTAATTTTTTTTCCTTTTGTTTTTTTCTTTCTCTCTTTCCTCTGTTCCATCAGCTCACAAATCCCACTTTGGTTTTGAATCTTTTCCTTTTGTATTCTTCCTCATTTGGCTGCACTCCTGTTTTTATTTTTGACGTATGTGCCTATCTGGGGGGTTGATAAGCGCAAGCCAACCCCCCTCGCGCACACCATTGCAGAATGGCGTGCAGGCAGGCCTGCCACTCGCCTGCAGGTTGTTGTGCCTGCCTGCACTCCCAATATGCCATCCTAAACACATATTTATATGTGTTGTAAGACTCAAAAAGTGATTGTAAGATCCTTTTTGCTGAATGGAGAAAGGGATGAAATGAGCTGCAAACTCTGCCTTTCTATATTATCAGAAAACAAGACCACCAAGGTAAGCTTGGCAGTTTGGTTGGTGATAATGGATTATGTTCAAAGATGGTTGTATAATTGTTGAAGGTTGATCTTGTTGTCCAAAGAATTGATTGAGTTGTTGATGTTGTTTCTCGTCTTGATGTCTTGATACTCGTGCTCTTCCTTGATGCTGTATATGTATAATGTAATAGAGGTGGTTCTTGAACCCAAAGGGTCTGGGAGCACTATGCTTCAACCAGGATTGGAACAAAGGACTGGCTCTTCTGTGTAATGTTTGTGAAATGAACTGTGTATATATTTCAATCTGTGAACTGTACTACTCGTGAACTTCTTGTGTAATAAATATGTGTAATCTGTGACAGGTGTCCCACAAAAAATGTGTACTGAGTGGGATGAGGAGGAAAACAACTGGCAGGCAGAGGCCTCCTTATATAGTAAATTATGAGGGATTTTAGCCCCAAGGGACCCCCTGTATGAGGCATTTTAGCTGCCCTATCCTTGAAAATCCTGAGGGATTTTTGCTAGACTATCTACAACACATTCCTTTTATATGTAAGCTGTAAGAAAGGAATTCATGTGTTCTGTGGCTGAATAAATGGGAATTTAACTGGTACAACTGGTGCCCAACTTGTGGTTCTGTAAGTATAAAAGGAATTCAAAATGAATAAAAGGAATTCAATATGCAATATGCAATATACCCCCATGCAATATACCCTTCAGCTGAGTGCCTCTGATCCTGTGATTCCCAGTGTGACATAATTTCTGATCCAGTAGAGATATGAAGGTGGTTCCAGTGAGTGACTAGGGGTTAAATTGGCCGTAGATTCCATTTCTGACGTCCAAAAGTCCATATCTTGAGTCCTTCATTGATAAATAATAAAATTTTGATTTTTCTCCCTTCATACACAGGAATAATGACCACAGTGTTTAGGACCTGGGCTGTCCCATAGGACCCAGGCATGGGTTCCTATGGGACGGACCCATTGATTTCTTTTTTCAAACCCCCTCGGCCTAGAGAGGCCAAGGTCACACCGCCGGGAGGAACCCCTCCCGGCGAGCTGGTTTTCAAACCAGCTTGTCGGAAGGAACACCTTCCGACAAGCTGGTACATATTCCAGCTTGTTGGAAGGAATCCCTTCCAACAAGCTGGTACATAATCCAGCTTGTCGGAAGGAACACCTTCCGACAAGCTGGTACATATTCCAGCTTGTTGGAAGGGATCTCTTCCGACAGGCTGATACATAATCCAGCTTGTCGAGAAGCGTGTCCTTCCTGCTCGCAGGTCTACCAACTACCTCGCCGGAAGGAACTCCTCCCAATGATGCCCGATTGAGATCCAGCATGTCGCAAGAAAATTCGGGCTGATACGCAGCCATTACCACCTGTACGCCGCAAGGCACCCCTCCCGTGCAGATATACTTTACCTATGACTATATTACAGTATGTGCGTATCAAATATAAGCAAATCCACCATTAATTTTAATGGATTGGTTTGAACAAGTCCACTCTTATTTAAACATGGTCGGTTATCCCATTTGACCCCCTTTTGGGGCCTCTTTATGCCAAAACAAGTTTTGGTAAGAGTGACTGAATATCAGATGGTGGAATTACTAATATTTGATAACGCCCTACCATGACTCAAGTTACCATTTGGGACCAACCTTGTAGTTCCAACTTGCCACCAG